TCTCATAGCTTAACTGTAGATAAAACTCTGCAAAAAATGTAAATAACTCACGAAAGCTCTCATAGCTCAACTTTAGATAAAACTCTGCATTCTCCGGTGAACTCTGTTCACTCCAAAAAACAAAAACTCCCTTTTTCTGTATGTAATTTAAACCGTGATCACTGAAATATTGTTGCTTCTGTACTTTTGTCACTCATTAAACTTGAAATTGGCCAATTTCAAGACTTTTGCAACAAAGGTCTCTGCACTCGTTTTTCCTCCCTTTTTATTTATTTTTTATTTTTACACCATGGTTTCTCTCAAAGGGACTTTAACCCTGAAGCTTCTTCTCAAAGGGACTTTAACCCCGAGGCTTTTCTCAAAGGGACTTTAACCCCGAGACTTTCTCAAGGGACTTTAACCCCGAAAACGTTTTCTCAAAGGGACTCGAACCCTGAAGCTTCTTCTCAAAGGGACTCTAACCCCGAGACTTCTTCTCAAATACAATTTAGAGAGTTTGACAGACCCCAAAAACAGAGCAAAATTTAGCTAATATCCAATTATGCAGACTTTACATATAAAAAGGTGTCTACTTACCTTATTCTTGTCAAACCGGTTCCAAGGACTGTCCGAGAGGTCTGCCAACCTCTTTTCCGCGTCGGAATATTCAATTTAAAAAACAAAAGTGACAGAAGCGACAAGAAGCATCCACGAACAGCTCTTCCAGCCTGCTGGAATCTCCGCTCCCAGACGCAGCATGCCGATCTCTCACGCAGAGGAAAAGAAACAGAGCAAACTCCCTCAAAACAATCCAGAGAATGGCACACACTGAGCCGCGCATTCTCCACCAAATCTGTCAGGATTTAGCAGACAGAGACGGATCGTGGTGTGCCAAACTCTGGAAGTTTATTTAAGTTTCTCTCAAGTTCCACTGGTTTACTCTGTTTCTTTCTCTCGGACAGAATAAAGGCAGTACACAGTTTATATAGTCATTGTCACGTCACACATCGAAAGACATACGTGTCACAAAGAGACAGTCACATCATAGTCATAACATGGAGTCCTTGTAGAGTCCTTGTAGAGTCCTGCACGTAGGCCATATTGCTATCTAATACTAATACCCTGCAATCCAGCTACATCCATCGGCGCTCAACTATTTGGCATCGATCCTAGCCGCAACACCATATAGTTCTTACATTAAATCATAGTCACAACGAGCAATGGAAGTATAAATTCTTTGTTGTCTGAATGTTAATCTAAACAAATGTAATTTGTTTTTCGCCCGTGTCATCAACAAGCCTTTCAGATTCAGATTCAGATTCAGATTCAGATTCAGCTTCATTTATTTGCCATTTGCAGTAAAACCACATTGGAAAAACAGTGCAAGACTACCCCAGTGTGCACCAGACAGAGAAGACGACACACACCAGAGCTCTTGCCACTTTTTGCGGCGGCGCTGTAAATTTACGTCACAAGCTCACAACAACAACATGGATAATGGTAGCAGTGGTAGCAGCGAGGCTTTTAAACCTCAAAATTTGTGTTCATCAGTCAGGAGATACTTCGGGTTTTGTAAAAAAAATAAAAAAGGGGGGGGGCAATCTTGACTAAACGATTGGCTCTGTAGAACTACTCTTCTCGCTACGCTTCTCTTCGCATCTGTACCAACGCCACGGCATCGCTGGCAAAGCAGAAGAATCACCCGGAGACAATCAAGAGCGGAGACCAAAACGGTGTTGCTGCTGTTTTCAAAGTTCTATACGAGTAAAAGGCTTCAACATGTAGCACTAGAATGTACAGTGCTCACTGCTCAACAAAAGTTTTGGACCACCTGTCATGACAACACAAAGAACTTTAGTAATACTATATCAAGAACTTCAAATTAACAGTATAAGTTTATTTAATATTAAGAAAATAATCAATTGGAATAACATAATAGTCCTTGTTCTTATTTCCATCAAATCCAGCTTCAGATTCATTATTATTTAACCACTATAGAAATAAAAAACATATTATTTAATTTTAAACACTGGTGGTGCTGTAAAACATTTGTTAAGAACTGCATTGTTATATTTTCTATTCATGTGAGTTATTTAAAGGTTAGCTCTTGGGCAAAATAAATGTTTTTGTTAAATTTGTAAAAAAAAGTTGTATTTCTTGTTCAGCACTTTAAATCTGAGTTCGACCTCTAAGTTTGAATTATTGTCATAAGTTTATTTACAGAAAAAGCCAATATTACTGTATTGATATATCGTTCAAAATCTACTGTATCGTATCGAATTGTATTGTTTTGAAAATAAAATATCGTTTTTTATCAAAATCATTTGCTCTCATATCGATACGGATCGTCTCGTTCTAAAAACTTATTGTTACACCCCTGGTAGTGAGATATTAAAAAAACTTGGATTGTAATCGTACATACTAGGCCACAGAGAGTGCACACTATACAGTCTCTCTCTCTGTGTTAATGGCTCAAAAGAACAGTACTGCATGTTTTTGACAAAAAATGGCAGTCACAAAACTAGAACTTACTGTAAGCATTGCCTGGACAAAACTTACAAATCTGTAAGGATTTTGTTTTCATTGACCTTTGATTACAGTATTCTTTACTACACATAATTGCCGCATGCAAATACCGTAAATGTATAATCAGTGGAAAATCTGTGCAGCCAGATTGACTGAGAGAGTGTGTGTTTTGGGGATAAAAGGCTCATCTGGGATTTATCATGTCACCTTCAGCATCTGTGCAGAGCAAATCAAATTACAGCGCGGGTTGTAATGCTGCAGTTAAGTCACTATAAGGCTGGTAATTGTACAAATCAAACTATATTGACGTATCGCTTAAGCTAAGATACTTCACTTTGTTGCACCATAAATACATTGAGTTTGTCCCAAAAGAAAGGATTTTGAGTAACATGTTAAAAATAGACCACGTTATCTTTGACATACTTGGAGCTGATTGGCTGAGTGAGAAATCTGATCTAAAGATGTGACAGAGGTCAAAAATATATGTGAAAACTGGTGATAAAACCAAACTGTTTTGCGAGCATTGAACTAGTGACATGGATTATATTACATGTTTATTTTTTATTATTTTTTAGTTAGGTACCCCAGCTTTATTGAAATGGATTAATCAAAAATGTCAATCTGCTGCTTTATGCCTGCGTCAGTGATATTGAGTGTTATGAGGAAGCTGCCTTTCAGATTTATGCAGCTATAATCTGAAATAGTCCTCCTAAAAATGTGAGACAGGCGTCTACTCTGACTATGATTGTATCTTCAGTCTTATTAAAGTACTATTATTTATTGACTATCTGGTTTTGTTTGCCTTTGGGTTGCCTCATGTATTAACTGTCCTATATAGATACACTTGGCTTTCCAAGTTTCAATATTACTGTTTATTACAAAGAAAATGAAAGCATTAAACAGGTGAAACTCTGAAGATCCAGCTCAGGAAAGCCAAGCTGCCTGCACAGATGTTGGTGCAGTTCTACACGGCCATCATCGAGTCCATCCTCACCTCCTCCATCACCGTGTGGTTCCCTGGAGCCACAGTCAGGGACAAACAGAGACTACAGCGCACAGTTTCTTCCCCTCTGCTGTTGGACTCTTGAACACTTCTTAACCTGTCCCCCCGCCCTTTATAAAGTCACTTTACTGCCCATCATACGTCACTTTACTTCACTGTACTGCTGTCATCTTACATTGTGTGCACCATGTGCACTTGTATATTGTAAATAGTAACTGTAACTCTATTTTAAATTTAAATGTATTCGTTAGAAGTGTTTTTTATTGATATGATATGATTCTGATTCTGATTATTCATATATTTGGGTAATTCAACCTTAAAAGTGAAACAGATATCTGATGGAGACTAATTACATGCAAAGTGACATATGCCAAGCTTCCCTTTGTCATAATGTTGATAATTAGGCTTAGAGTTCATTTTCAAACTATTCAAAGATGTTTTATGTAGGGTTTATACAATGTGTGAGCCAATTATCAACATTATGACCCTATGTATCTCACAATTTTGAATGCTCTGGAAACGGCAGCAAGTCCTAAGTAGCTTTGAAACAGTTGTTGTTTTGCGTTTTACAATTGTTATTTTTATTACTTGAGATGTTACTGCAGTACAGTGTTCATGGTTTTGCACTGGTCCAGACTAGAGCGGAGAGGATTCGTGATCCCAACCGAGCGGATCAGCCGAAAATCCACAGGAGCAGGGCTGACTTTTTGAAAAAAGCTAATGAAGTATTCAGTATTTTATTACTACTGTACTTATAATTTTAGAATAACCATTTAATTTGTTTTGTTTGTATGGATGGATGGATGTGTTTTTGCTGCTACTGGACACCTGAATTTATCCTATGGGGATCAATAAAGTATCCATCTATATATCTCACATTGTAAAGTCAATTACAGAAGTAAATAGATAGAACGACATTCTAATTTTCAGAGTTTCACCTTTATAATAATAATAATAATAATGCATCGGTTTTATATAGCGCTTTTTTGGACACTCAAAGACGCTTCACATGTGTCATTATTCATTCACTCCAAACACGGTGGTGATAAACTACTAATGTAGCCACAGCTGCCCTGGGGCACACTGACAGAAGCGAGGCAACCAGTATGTGCCATCGGCCCCTCCGACCACCACCAACCATTCACACACACACCAGACTCATTCTAGGCAATGGGGGTGAAGTGTCTTGCCTAAGGACACAACGGCAGTTTGGCACTTTACAGCCGCAGCCGCCCCACTGTGGCTGGTGTTCCCAGAGGTTAAGTGTCTTGCCAAGGACACAACAACAGTAGTCAGTGGGAGTCGATGGTGAAAGTCTTGAGCGGGGCTTGAACCCACGACCTTCTGGCTCAAAGGCCAACGCTCTACCAACTGAGCTACTGCCGCCTTTATATTGTATTGTCCGTCATCAGGCCTGTTGTGTAGTGACTGTTGTGATGACCAGTTATACACAGCATTTTCCTCATCTAAATAATACACCAAAAGGACTGACCGTGGAGCAGCACATGAAGACAATGATAAAAGAGCCCAAGACGCCGCCAATCCCCACCATCCACGTCATCCGCAGGAACAAGATTACCCCAAAAATGTTCTGGATGCAGGGCAGATACACGCCCATCAGTGTCCCCAACTGTGGCGCCTGAGGGAACACGACACTCAGTCAATACTATTCTTCTAACACAAAAAACAGCTGGGAGGAAAAACTTCTTCCAAGCCTACAACACATCGCTAGTTTCTCTGTATTACTGTGTACATATTTTTCTTGTATCTTTGCTTAGATTTTATGAATGAAAGGGAATGTCTCCATCCTTTGAAAAAACATGTTATAGACAATAAAAAAAACATTATAATATTATGAATAATTCAATTATATTTTGGGTGTATTTTCAACATGAGTTTGATGAAAAATACTCAAAAGTACAGTATTGACTTTGATTTAACAACTTGACTTTGTTTTTTTCTGATTTTGAATTATACTAGTTTTGAATATGAATAATCTAAAACAATGAATGTATAAAAGTTAGGACTTAACAGGAGGGAGATTCACAAGTTTGAACCAATTTAGAAACTTATCTATTTTCATTCCCTTCAGAAAAAGTGTGATTTTTTTTCTAATGAATGAAGCCACAGTTTATGTGGTTCAAAAATGTTGAAAAATGGAGCAGCAATTTATAACGTAACAGGAAGGATTCAAAATTCATCATAAAGTCTGGAAAAAATTGCGACTAATGCATTTTTTGACTGAATGATTTCAGTATATTTCCTGCAATTTGTCAAAATCTGTGTAACTTGGCAAGAGCCAGAACAATTTTGTGTATAACTCTCATTGAAGGATTTTTGGCTCAGAATTGTACACGCCTGCAGTCATCATTTACAACCAGGAAGTGAAATGATAACCATTAAAATACAGAAGGTCGGAATGCACTGCAAGTCAAGCATTTGTCCGCACACCAGTCATTATGTAAAGCAAATATACAATTATGACACAGTTACTGCATACAACTTAAATCAAGTATATTTATGTGTTTATATAAATAAAGATTACTTACTTACTTTCATACATATACAGTACATACATTATATAGAAGTTTTTAAAGGAAAACTACTGGATAATGTTGAGCATAAAGCATGATTGATAACAGTGTGCTTTGGGAGATATTTCGGTCCGTAAGGATAGCTCCTGGATATAGTCTACATTCAAAAGCCTGTATTCACACTGACCTTCACTGGCTGTTTTGTGGCCCGTGCAGTTTCCTCGTTGTTCTCAGCCTCCTCGTGCTCCTTGCTTCCTGTGGGTAAGTTGGAGTAGTTGGCGAGGCTGGAGAGGAGTGACGACACCATGGGACTGGTATCCATTTCCTCCTGTCATCAACCATCAACATGTCAATATTCAGGTAAAGAACTTTCCTGTACTTGTGTCGTTGCAAATTACTAACTTCAAACAAAGCCATGTTCTTGCCGTCATACTGCTGGCTCTTCCCCACGTCACAGTTTATGAATGGACTTGTTTCTTTTGGGATCACATCACCTAAAACAGAAGGACATTATTTTTGAAGTTTTATTTTACATGAATTGTCATGACATGGAACATGTGCTTTTCGGACCTTTTCTTGTGTCTAAATGTTCTCTCACATTCCTTCAGATGTAAACATACTGCTGCTAATGTGCAGATGCTAACATATAACCACACTTTACTTGCACTAGAATACACAGTACTTTGTTAAAAAAAATGTAAAAGTACATTTTTTTTAACATCTATTATTATTTTCAAGATAAGAGTTCTTATACTTATTATAGATACTAGAGTTAGAGATTTTGTTTTATTTTAATTAGGACAGCTACTGTTCATGTAACGTGTGCTGTGTGCTCCTCTTTCCTAATGTTCTATAACTTGTGATACGACACTGAAATTTCCCCACTGTGGGACAAATAAAGGATCTCTTCTTAATCTTCAGCTAAGGTTCTAACCAAGACAAGATCAAGATGTGGAGAGGGGTCCTGACCCTGATGGTCCTGAGCGACAGGTCAAATGCAGATATGTAAGGAAGTAACATTCTAAATACATGGGGGAAAACTATGGTCAAAGTCAGGAAGTCTTCTCCTTCTGCTCCTGACAGACCTGGAACAAAATCCCAAACTCAATATGTGAAATGCCATCACTCAACTCCTTCACTCACAGCTGAAGACCTGGCTCCTGGACAATCAGAGCTGCCAACACTCTAACAACTCACTGAACAGCTGGGCTCTGTGCGTTTCAACAAAAAAAAAATTCTCTATGCTGTGTGTGTATGTGTGAGTGGGTGCGTGTGTGTGCCTCCTGTTGTTGATGTATGTTCAACTATATATGTTCATTAACATGTACTTTTCCAGTCAAACAGAAAAAGAAATACAAGTACAATATGTACACACTATACTATCCCTAAATAAGTTTCCTTGTATTGGACTCATTTGGACCAGTGCAGCCACCATGAACCCTCCTCCAGATTTTTACCAAAGCTTTTCTCAAATCTGATCTCATATCAGAAACTTGCATTAATAACTGACAAAGTAGTACGCTGATATGCAAAATAGCTGAAGAAATGCTTCAGAGATGTAACATCAGAACATACCAAATGCATAGTTTATTTGCTTTGATAGATTCTCATTATCCTTTTGAACCCCGACACAGCATGACATAATGCATGAAGAGAAAGAAAAATATATAGTGCCTCAGATTTCACTTCCTTCTCTCTCATCCCTAAGCAAAAACAACTTTTGGTATTTTCATAGAATAATAAATATTCATAAACTAGTAAAAAAAAATAAACTTCACAGTGAAACACATTTAATCCTGGACCTCAACAACTGAACAAACTAAGGTTTCTTGAAGCTGGAAACTATTAGACACTTTGAACTCTGCCAACTCTAACTTTGATGTCTGTGATGTCCTCACAAAAACGGCCCCTTCGGTTCAGAATGGTTTACAGCAGCTAGCTCACTTGGAAAAAAACTTTTAGTAACAAAAAAGCATATTCATTATTAATTCAATTCAATTCATTTTATTTTTCAATTTATGGCACTAAATCACAGCAGTAGTAGAGGACTTTACAAAACCGTTGATTTGGCAACATAGATCAGAGAATCAAACACAAGAAATGCAAAGAGTCATTGGTCTATTAGGGGCGGATGAGAATGTCCATAAATGTTGATAAAGCCCATATCATTATTACAATTGTTTTGCATGTGAATAATAGAACTGTGTGGGAACAATAAACTAAACCTCTCACACAAGTGTCTGGAACCTGCAACACTGAGGCGCTAACAGCAAGTGCTGGACGTGCATTCATCTGTTCACGCAATCATTTTTCTGGAGATTAAATGAGGGGGATTCTGGGATTTGCAATTAAAAGATTGTGAACATCTAAAGTTATGAGTTTAACAGAGTGTAACCTGTATAAATTGAACCGCTGTGATTCTAGGATTCTACAGGAGGATGGGAGGCTTAATAATTTTAGACCACAAATGTTTAGTATGAAAAGTTAACAAAAGCCGGTGTTCTGTCGAGTTGGTCTGCCCATCGAGATGAGCTCCGTCAGCTGTTTATGATGTAATGCAAACCTGCGCATGCGCTTCTCACGGCAGCCGAAGCAAACCAAGATGGCGGACATGTAGTCCGTGAATTGCTTGAAAAGTTAAAATACGAACGAATAAAGACACAAATGTCACTTTTGATGCAATTTCAGGCGACATGTTGATGGTTCCGTGTTGTGATAAGTGGGTTTTGAGAGTAAGAGTTTCGTGTAGAGTTTGTTTTAAGCAGTCAACTGCTCCTGTGAGCAAAGTGTAGGCTTACATCCCACCCACTGACTTTGAGGGAGTTATCCACCTTTTTATTCCATCTAGATTAGATTATTGTAACTCGTTGTACTGCGGTCTGGACCTCGGCTCATTAAAGCGACTTCAGCAGGTGCAGAATGCTGCTGCTCGCTTTCTCACTGTTACTTTCAGGGTTGATTTTAAGATTCTGATGCTTGTTTTTAAGTGTCTGAATGGTTTGGCCCCTGTATATCTGTCAGAGCTGTTATCTCTGTATGCTCCTGTCAGATCAGTGAGGACTGAAAACGAGCTGCTGTTGAACGTGCCCCAGTCTCGTCTCAAAACTCATGGACCGAGCCTTTTCTGTTGCTGCCCCCAAACTGTGGAAGTTTTTAAGTCTAGTTTAAAGACATTTTTACACCTTGGCTTTTAACACCAATTGAGTTTTACCATTTTACTTTTACGTATGTACCGTGGTGAAGTTGGTTGGATATTGGATATTCGGCAGATATTCAGAGAGGGGAAGTGAGGAGGTCGTCAGCCGGCCTGAGAGAGTAGCACGGAGCGGACATGTACTCGCGCGAGTCTTCGCCTAATTTTAGGGACCGTCAACATTTTACCCTACTCTTCACTTACATGAAAGTGGATATAAAAAAAGACTTTAATGCCTAAATAACACAATAAATTCATATATACTTTTAAAAAATGAAAAAGGATGATTATGACACCGAGAAAAATAGATGTAATTGTAATGCAAAAGTTCTAAATCACTTTGATCATTATAGGTTACAGTAAAATATAATATTATTCAATAGCTTTGGAAAATTTTGACCCTGTGACCCCAAAACACTTTTAAATAACAGGACTACCTGTAGGCTATAGATCTCAGGCCAATATCTCAATATTTTTTTTGTTAAAAATGCCAGTTTTTCTTCAATAGCTTTTAGGGAATTTGACCCACGTACTCCAAACCACTCTTAAATAACACTACTGCGGGCTATGGGGCTCAGGCCTTAATTGTTCTTAAAAGCTTTTAAAATTATTTTTTGGTTTGAAAATACCAGTTTTTCTTCAATAGCTTTTAGGGAATTTGACCCATTTACTCCAAACCACTTTTAAATAATAGTACTACCTGAGGGCTGTGGAGCTCAGCCCTTGAAATTGTTCTTAAAAGCTTTTCAAATGTTAAAATTATTTTTTGGTTAAAAAATACCTGTTTTTCTTCAATAGCTTTTAGGGCATTTGACCCATTTACTCCAAACCACTTTTAAATAATAGTACTAAATGAGGGCTATTGGGCTCAGCCCTTGAAATTTTTCTTAAAAGCATTTAACATTTTAAAATAATTTTTTTGGTTAAAAATACCAGTTTTTCTTCAATAGCTTTTAGGGCATTTGACCCATTTACTCCAAACCACTTTTAAATAATAGTACTACCTGAGGGCTATGGGGCTCAGCCCTTGAAATTGTTCTTAAAAGCATTTAACATTTTAAAATGATTTTTTTGGTTAAAAATACCTGTTTTTCTTCAATAGCTTTTAGGGCATTTGACCCATTTACTCCAAACCACTTTTAAATAATAGTACTAAATGAGGGCTATGGGGCTCAGCCCTTGAAATTGTTCTTAAAAGCATTTAACATTTTAAAATGATTTTTTTGGTTAAAAATACCAGTTTTTCTTCAATAGCTTTTAGGGCATTTGACCCATTTGCTCCAAACCACTTTTAAATAATAGTACTAAATGAGGGCTATTGGGCTCAGCCCTTGATATTGTTCCTAAAAGCTTTTATGACTATTTTTTGGTTAAAAATACCAGTTTTTCTTCAATAGCTTTTAGGGCATTTGACCCATTTACTCCAAACCACTTTTAAATAATAGTACTAAATGAGGGCTATTGGGCTCAGCCCTTGAAATTGTTCTTAAAAGCTTTTTAAATTATACTTTGGTTAAAAATACCAGTTTTTCTTCAATAGCTTTTAGGGCATTTGACCCATTTACTCCAAACCACTTTTAAATAATAGTACTTAATGAGGGCTATTGGGCTCAGCCCTTGAAATTGTTCTTAAAAGCTTTTTAAATTATACTTTGGTTAAAAATACCAGTTTTTCTTCAATAGCTTTTAGGGCATTTGACCCATTTACTCCAAACCACTTTTAAATAATAGTACTACCTGAGGGCTATGGGGCACAGCCCTTGAAATTGTTCTTAAAAGCTTTTTAAATTATACTTTGGTTAAAAATACCAGTTTTTCTTCAATAGCTTTTAGGGCATTTGACCCATTAGCTCCAAACCACTTTTAAATAATAGTACTAAATGAGGGCTATGGGGCTCAGCCATTGAAATTGTTCTTAAAAGCATTTAAAATTTTTAAATGATTTTTTTATGATAAAAATACCAGTTTTTCTTCAATAGCTTTTAGGGCATTTGACCCATTTACTCCAAACCACTTTTAAATAATAGTACTAAATGAGGGCTATTGGGCTCAGCCCTTGAAATTGTTCTTAAAAGCTTTTTAAATTATACTTTGGTTAAAAATACCAGTTTTTCTTCAATAGCTTTTAGGGCATGTGGGGAAGCTGGCCAAAGGGTCAAGCAGGAGGCAGACCAAAAAGTTCCCAAAAACCAAAATTTATTTTCAAAAATAACCAAGGTGACTCGTGGCAACATATATACAAAATATACAAAAACTGCTTCAACGCAAACAAAGAAACAGAAAATAATGACACTGAAACAAACCCACGTGTACCTGGCTACACTGGTGGTCAACCCCCTCTGACTGACTCTTCAGCTCTTATATACCCCCCTAAGACCTCCCACTAGGCTGTACTATCCCTCACAGGGGTGGTCTCTAACTCCATACAATGTAAACTATACAATTATGTCCCTCCCTAGCAGGTTTCCTCTCCGGTTTCAAAGTAATGTCTAACTAAACCTATAAACACTACATAATTGAAAACAAAACAACAAAACAACTTGTTAAACAAACCCAAAATCCCAAACCTCCCCCATCCACATGGTCTGGTCCAAAGACCCTCCCACAGCCTACAAAAATGGCCGATGAAGGGCACGCCTCCTCTTTGCATGGACCATGTGGTGAGGTGAGTATAGCTGCAACTCAAAAGGTGAGTGTTAAAGAAACTATCTCATAGCAGATAACATAGTAAAGCAAATGAATGTGAACAAATGAAATAAGCTGTCAAAATAGGAAAAATATGGGACGAAGTGGCCTGCTTCGTCACACACCCCCCCTCTTAAGACCGTTACTCCTCCGAGTCACGGGACAGGAAATCTGCAATAATGTTCTTATTACCGGGTTTGTACTGGATCTGAAAGCAAAATGGTTTTAGAGATAAATACCATCTAGTAATACGAGCATTAGTGTCCTTCATTTTATGGATCCACTGGAGTGCACGATGGTCAGTCTCTAAAACAAACTCCTTACCTATAAGATAGTATTTGAGAGTGTCTAAAGCCCATTTTACGGCTAGAGCTTCTTTCTCAATCGTAGAGTATCTCTTCTCACGGGGAAAGAGCTTACGACTAATGTATTGCACAGGTAGTTGGTTACCCTCCTCCCCTTGCAATAACACTGCACCTAGCCCTACCTCTGAAGCATCAGTTTGGACTGTAAAGGGAAGGTCAAAATCGGGACACTGCAAAACTGGCTCTTGACATAAACAGTCTCTCAGGTCATTAAAAGCATGTATGGTTTCAGGAGTCCAATTAACCTTCACTGGGCTAACTTTACAAGTCATATCAGACAAAGATGCTGATCTGGTAGCAAAGTCTGGGATGAGGCGCCGGTACCAACCCACTAACCCCAAGAAGGATCTCAGTCGTCTCTTGGTATTAGGAAGTGCGGTGGTGGCAATGGCCTCCACTTTACCAACCTGCGGATGGATACCCCCAGCTCCTATGACATAGCCCAAGTACTGCACCTCAGGCTTGGCGATGTGACACTTCTTGGCGTTTATGACGAGGCCCGCTTCCTGGATCCGCCTGAAGACATCTGACAAATGCTGTCGGTGCTCCTCCCAAGACTGTCTGAAGATCACAATGTTGTCGATGTAAGCAGCAGCGTAGGCCTCGGCTCCCCTCAGCACCTCGTCGACGAGACGTTGGAATGTCGCCGGCGCTCCATGTAGACCAAAGGGCATCATCCGGAACCTGAAAAGTCCACTGGGCACTCGGAACGTTGTGAAGTCTCTTGAAGTTTTGACAAGGGGCACTTGCCAATACCCCTTGCAGAGATCAAGGGTGGTCAAGTAGGTTGCATGTCCCAGTCGTTCGATGAGCTCATCTACCCTTGGCATTGGGTAGGGATCAAATGCAGACACAGCATTCAACTTTGCAAAGTTCACACAGAATCTGAGCTTGGGATCGTCTTTCTTGGGAACTAAGACTACAGAGCTGCACCACTCACTGCGAGATGGTTCAATAATGCCCATTTGCAACATCTCTTCCACTTCATTCTTTAACTCTGGAATGAGTTTAGCAGGAATTCGGCCGGTGGTGTCTCTGATTGGCTGTTGCTCTGATGAACGTAAGCGGATCTGGTGTTCAATGAGATGAGTACAACCAGGTCTTGTGCTAAAAAGTTCATCTGTCATGTACCTTTGCAGGTCCATTTGTTGGCTAGTGCTCAAGTGACTCACATCAGGGAACACTTGTGTCTCTGCTGACGATGGAAAGTACTGCTCCGGAAGTTCCTCCTCATCTGCAACCCCTCGTGCCAGTAATGAACGCTGGTTTGGACGGTCGACCCACTCCTTTAGCAGATTGATGTGGAAAACTTGATACTTTTTCCGGCGATCTGGCAAGAAAAGTTCATAGTTTACTGGTCCAGTCTTCTGATGAATCTCATATGGGCCTTGCCATTTAGCCAATAGACCACTCTCTGATGTTGGCAATAACAGTAAGACTTTCTGGCCAACCTCGAATGATCTTCTCTTGGATGACTTGTCATAATTATGCTTTTGTCTCTCTTGTACTTGTGCCAGGTTGCTGCAGGCAAGCTCTTTGAAGTGCTCCAGCTTGTCTCTCATTTTCAGCACATAAGAAACTTCACTGCATCCTTGCTCTGGATTTGGCCCCTCCCATGCTTCTTTTAGAACGTCCAGAGGCCCTCGAACGGAGTGTCCATAGAGAAGCTGGAATGGTGAAAACCCGGTGGAGGTTTGTGGAACTTCTCTGTATGCAAATAGTAGAAATGGAAGCCACTCGTGCCAGTCAGAGCCTGAATCTGAGACAAACTTTCTCAGCATCGATTTCAGAGTCTTATTGAACCGTTCGACAAGTCCATCAGTCTGTGGATGATATGGACTTGTCTTGATGCCTTGTATTCCCAGTAGAGCGTAGACTTGTTTCAGAAGTGTGGAAGTGAAGTTCGTTCCTTGGTCTGTGATTATCTCTTTTGGGATGCCAACTCTAGAGAAAAGTTGGATGAGGCAGGTGACAATTTGGCGGGCTTTGATCTTCTTGAGTGGAAATGCCTCCGGATATCTTGTAGCATAGTCCGACAACACCAGGATATAGCGATGTCCGGCAGCGCTACGCTCCAGGGAACCCACAATGTCCATGGCAATCCGGGAAAAGGGTGTGTCAATGATTGGCATGCTAATTAGGGGAACCCTATCTCCCTTCTTACTTGGGGCTGTCAACTGACACTCTGGACATGACTGACAGTACTTAACTGTGTCCGAGTATTGCTGAGGCCAATAAAATCTGGGGACCATTCTAGAAAATGTCTTTGCCTGACCCAAGTGTCCTGCCCATGGAATCGAATGACTGAGATCAAGGATTGTGGCTCGTAAAGTTTGGGGGACTACTAGCTGATCTCCAACTTTACTGCGCCTGTAAAGCCTTCCATTCTTAATAATAAAACATTCTTTCCCTCTCACCGTCACCTTTGTATGTTCTGGCAAACATTTATCAAAAAAATTAATAAGAGTTGGGTCTTGTTTTTGCAGATTGGCTATATCGCTAGCGATGGGTAAAAGATCTGACTCTGTTGGTGTCACTATTCTTTCTTCCAATTTAGTACCTCTGACTTTATCTTGCCTTCTGTGTCTTTTGCTTTTCCTAACCTTGCCATTGTTAGAAGTTAGCGTGTCTGCATTAGCAAAAGGCAACTCTTCCACACCAGTTTTGTTACTGCCAGCTTGGGCCCTAGTCACCGCCATCAAACAGTCATTAGAAATGGTTTTAGCTGCAGAAGATTGCTTAGCAATTAGCTCAGGAAGTACAGGGACATCTAAGCCTAGGACAATTTGGTAAGGCAGCTGTTCCAGCACACCTACAGACAGTGCAAAAGATTGCCCTTCGACCTGAATCGTCACTTCCGCAATGGGATAGCGAACCCTGTCACCATGTATGCAGACAATGTCAACTGTCCCTCCACAAAAGATAACATCTTTCGGTAAGCTGTCCTGTCTAACCAGAGTGCGGTCGCTTCCAGAATCTAGAAGAGCAACACAAGGCTTGTCGTCCATTACTACACCCATTGTTAGCTCCTCCTGATAGCCAGCATACCCATCGACATAAGCCGTAAAGTTAGCTACACTGCACATGTAGTTTTTACTTGCCCTGTTAGCTTTAGGACACTGTGCTTTAAGATGACCTGTCTGACCACATAAATGACAAGCAAAATTAGACCTGTCTCTGCTGTCTGGTCTAAATGGCTGTTGGGGAGCACTAGGTCTAAAGTGTCTGGGTCTAAAATCAGGGACCAATGGCTTACCCATTTGGGTGGGTGGGCGGGACTTTAGTGGAAGACAACTCTTAGACGGACGTCTGGCTGAGAGGAAAGCTTCAGCCATCTCCGCAGCCTCCTTAGAGCTCTTTGGATCCCGTTCCTTGATCCACGTGCGCAGCTCCGGATTGAGAATTCTAAGGAACTGCTCTAGGACGATGGTGTCTCCTATTTGGTCCTTGGTCTTTGTCTTTGGGTCCATCCACTTGTTGTAGAGCTCCTTCAGACGGACCTGTAGCTCTTGCGGTGACTCCTCTTCTGCCCACTCGGATGAACGAAATCTCAGCCGATAGGTTTCGGTGCTGATCTCAAATTTTTGTAGAACTGCACGTTTCACTTTGTCATAGTCCATAGTGTCATCAATGTCCATTGAAACATATGCAGAACGTGCTTTGCCGGTTAACAGTGGTGCGAGTCGAAGTGCCCACTCATCAAATGGCCACTGGCATGCGTGTGCGATCCGTTCAAATGTGCACAAATAATGTTCAATGTCCTCACCATCATTGTAGGGTTGCATCTTTGGGCCTTTCCAATTGAAGTTTCGTGCTCCGATTAAATGTCTGGAGTCCATGTGCTCCTGCTGTGAACTGTGAGTCATAAGCTCCTCTGCTCTCACGTCTGCAGGGCCTTCCACTTCAGGAAAACGGCGCTGTTCTATTTCCCGCTGAAGATGGGAAATGTCTCTGTGCATTTTTGTCCATTGCTCATCTTGTTGGCGCATAATACGATGCAATAAACCCGATAGTTGCTCCACAGTTTGTACCTCTGGATCTTGTCCTCCACTGGCTCCATCCACTTCTTGGGGTGGATTGGTCGGAGGTGGATCCACGCTTGCATCGGCGCTTGGTTTCTTTTGCCGTGTTTCTTTCATCTTTGCTGCCTCCCACTGGCCTGGATCCCACCGCTGCCACCATATGTGGGGAAGCTGGGTTAGGGTTAGGGTTAGGGTATGGGCTTTGACCCATTTGCTCCAAACCACTTTTAAATAATAGTACTAAATGAGGGCTATGGGGCTCAGCCATTGAAATTGTTCTTAAAAGCATTTAAAATTTTAAAATGATTTTTTTATGATAAAAATACCAGTTTTTCTTCAATAGCTTTTAGGGTATTTGACCCATTTACTCCAAACCACTTTTAAATAATAGTACTAAATGAGGGCTATTGGGCTCAGCCCTTGAAATTGTTCTTAAAAGCTTTTTAAATTATACTTTGGTTAAAAATACCAGTTTTTCTTCAATAGCTTTTAGGGCATTTGACCCATTTGCTCCAAACCACTTTTAAATAATAGTACTAAATGAGGGCTATGGGGCTCAGCCATTGAAATTGTTCTTAAAAGCATTTAACATTTTAAAAGGATTTTTTTGGTTAAAAATACCAGTTTTTCTTCAATAGCTTTTAGGGCATTTGACCCATTTACTCCAAACCACTTTTAAATAATAGTACTAAATGAGGGCTATTGGGCTCAGCCCTTGATATTGTTCCTAAAAGCTTTTATGACTATTTTTTGGTTAAAAATACCAGTTTTTCTTCAATAGCTTTTAGGGCATGTGACCCATTTACTCCAAACCACTTTTAAATAATAGTACCACCTGAGGGCTATGGGGCTCAGCCCTTGAAATGGTTTTTAAAAGCTTTTTAAATTTTTAAAATGATTTTTTTGGTTAAAAATACCAGTTTTTCTTCAATAGCTTTTAGGGCATTTGACCCATTTACTCCAAACCACTTTTAAATAATAGTACTACCTGAGGGCTATGGAGCTCAGCCCTTGAAATTGTTCTTAAAAGCTTTTTAAATTATACTTTGGTTAAAAATACCAGTTTTTCTTCAATAGCGTTTAGGGCATTTGACCCATTTGCTCCAAACCACTTTTAAATAATAGTACTAAATGAGGGCTATGGGGCTCAGCCATTGAAATTGTTCTTAAAAGCATTTAAAATTTTAAAATGATTTTTTTATGATAAAAATACCAGTTTTTCTTCAATAGCTTTTAGGGTATTTGACCCATTTACTCCAAACCACTTTTAAATAATAGTACTAAATGAGGGCTATTGGGCTCAGCCCTTGAAATTGTTCTTAAAAGCTTTTTAAATTATACTTTGGTTAAAAATACCAGTTTTTCTTCAATAGCTTTTAGGGCATTTGACCCATTTGCTCCAAACCACTTTTAAATAATAGTACTAAATGAGGGCTATGGGGCTCAGCCATTGAAATTGTTCTTAAAAGCATTTAACATTTTAAAAGGATTTTTTTGGTTAAAAATACCAGTTTTTCTTCAATAGCTTTTAGGGCATTTGACCCATTTACTCCAAACCACTTTTAAATAATAGTACTAAATGAGGGCTATTGGGCTCAGCCCTTGATATTGTTCCTAAAAGCTTTTATGACTATTTTTTGGTTAAAAATACCAGTTTTTCTTCAATAGCTTTTAGGGCATGTGACCCATTTACTCCAAACCACTTTTAAATAATAGTACCACCTGAGGGCTATGGGGCTCAGCCCTTGAAATGGTTTTTAAAAGCTTTTTAAATTTTAAAATGATTTTTTTGGTTAAAAATACCAGTTTTTCTTCAATAGCTTTTAGGGCATTTGACCCATTTACTCCAAACCACTTTTAAATAATAGTACTACCTGAGGGCTATGGAGCTCAGCCCTTGAAATTGTTCTTAAAAGCTTTTTAAATTATACTTTGGTTAAAAATACCAGTTTTTCTTCAATAGCGTTTAGGGCATTTGACCCATTTGCTCCAAACCACTTTTAAATAATAGTACTAAATGAGGGCTATGGGGCTCAGCCATTGAAATTGTTCTTAAAAGCATTTCAAATTTTAAAATGATTTTTTTATGATAAAAATACCAGTTTTTCTTCAATAGCTTTTAGGGCATTTGACCCATTTACTCCAAACCACTTTTAAATAATAGTACTTAATGAGGGCTATTAGGCTCAGCCCTTGAAATTGTTCTTAAAAGCTTTTTAAATTATACTTTGGTTAAAAATACCAGTTTTTCTTCAATAGCTTTTAGGGCATTTGACCCATTTACTCCAAACCACTTTTAAATAATAGTACTACCTGAGGGCTATGGGGCTCAGCCCTTGAAATTGTTCTTAAAAGCTTTTTAAATTATACTTTGGTTAAAAATACCAGTTTTTCTTCAATAGCTTTTAGGGCATTTGACCCATTTACTCCAAACCACTTTTAAATAATAGTACTACCTGAGGGCTATGGAACTCAGCCCTTAAAATTGTTCTTAAAAGCTTTTTAAATTATACTTTGGTTAAAAATACCAGTTTTTCTTCAATAGCTTTTAGGGCATTTGACCCATTTGCTCCAAACCACTTTTAAATAATAGTACTAAATGAGGGCTATGGGGCTCAGCCATTGAAATTGTTCTTAAAAGCATTTAAAATTTTAAAATGATTTTTTTATGATAAAAATACCAGTTTTTCTTCAATAGCTTTTAGGGCATTTGACCCATTTACTCCAAACCACTTTTAAATAATAGTACTACCTGAGGGCTATGGAACTCAGCCCTTAAAATTGTTCTTAAAAGCTTTTTAAATTATACTTTGGTTAAAAATACCAGTTTTTCTTCAATAGCTTTTAGGGCATTTGACCCATTTGCTCCAAACCACTTTTAAATAATAGTACTAAATGAGGGCTATGGGGCTCAGCCATTGAAATTGTTCTTAAAAGCATTTAAAATTTTAAAATTATTTTTTTATGATAAAAATACCAGTTTTTCTTCAATAGCTTTTAGGGCATTTGACCCATTTACTCCAAACCACTTTTAAATAATAGTACTAAATGAGGGCTATGGGGCTCAGCCATTGAAATTGTTCTTAATGTGAATAATGCATTTGTTCATTGAATACTAGCCTATAAAAATTAACATTTCTAATAAACACAGTTGGTACAATCTCAACCAATGAAGTAGGCAGTAGGCACACAAGAATACAAGTTTATAATGTTAAGGTCTTGGGAAAAAAAAAAAATCAGTTTTTAAAAAGTCTGGAATTTTAATTTGGAAAAAGAGCATATGACGTCAGGGCAGTGGCGCGAATAATAAACGTAGGACAGGACGTGATATACCTTGGCAGTGCCGTCTGCTGGGTATATACCAGTGGGGGAGGGTCCCAGCTCAAAAGTGGCCAAAATGACGTGCGCTGACATGCTTGCAATACCACCCCGGGCCGATGGGGGTGGACCCAGAAGAATTAGCCAATGCTAACATATAGCATTGGCAGACCTCTTAAAAACGTCTTTACAGGATGGACCAAAAGTTGGCTCTTGGCTCTTTTTTGGTCCACTCTAGTTTACTTGCTGTGAATTTTTGAAGTCTCTCCTTCAAATGCATGGAGCTGCACCGGCTGACGCATGCGCAGATGCGTTTTTTCACAATTTTCTTGTGGGCGGGACCACTCGTGGCCCATTAGTTAGAACGGCAGAGATAGACGTGACTCTGTCCGTTAATATATACAGTCTATGGTATATACACGGAGATATAGTAGAAGAAGAAGCGCTGTCAAAATGTACGCTTGTAGCAACCGCGCAAATAGAGAGAAAGACAAGACTTTCTTCCATGTTCCAACTGTGGTCTCATATAAAGGAGTACACTTTGAAAAAATCACTCGAATGAGGCAGGCGAGGTGGACCAGGGCTTTCCCAGATAAGCGCCCCCTGCAGGCCACCCGAATGAAACGCAGCAATTTCTTCTGTTTTTATTTCCAAAAATGGCCAAAATCAAGACTCTTTTGATAAATATTTTTTACACCGCACAGGATGAGAGCCTTTTGACTCCAAAACAGCCATGATTTACATGGTTTGCAATGGGAGAAAAACTGAGTTGTCCCACGTCTGCTCATTCGCCCCCTACTGGCCAGTTTAATGAAACCCAAGAATTTTATGTTTATTTTTGTTTTATTTGATTCATGATATATAGAGTTGCCCTATACTTCACTTGTGTTGTGTGCTCCTCATTCCTTCTGTTCTGTAACTTGTGACAAAACACTGAAATTTTAGTCTGTAGGACAAATAACGGATCTCTTAATCTTAATCTCACTTGAAAATGTAGCATTTTACACAAGGGAATTAAGTGACTTTATGCTGTGATTTTGGGGAATTTTTTAGGTGAAGCCATCAACGTTCTCTGCTTAGAAATAAAATGCTAAACTTGTGGTTGAGGGAGAACATTGACAATCACAGTGTTTTCCATTTGCGGACGTTCCGTGACTCAACAGTTTTCCCTGTTCTCTGCAGGACTCTGGGTAAAATGCAAGAGTGCCATCAATTTGTGTTCCCAGGACAAGAGCCGCTCACAAAGAAGGGCCACCTGGATCCCATAGATATTTCTGTTGCCTCAAGAGGATCTAACAAGAAGGTGACGTGGCAACTCACTTCTTATTTCTACCACCCAGCAATATGCGCAATAATGAAGCTGCGACGTTGGCGGAGCTTAAAGTGTCCGGGCCTAACACAGTGTTATGTTTGGGCACCTTTCCCCCTTTGGTTTTTTGTTACAATTGTTTTTTTAGAAGTATATTTTATAAGTAACATTTTTGATTATGTTTTGTAACTTATTTTGAGTAACTCTAAAGCCAACAGCAATCAGATTCGGAAGTCTTGTTTGTTTGTTTATTTATTTCAGGCATTTCACATTAAACATTGGGCACAAGTCACCTCTTGTCCATCATAGTTTCCAGCAAACAATAATGAATCACTAACATGCATAAGGGGAAACAAATAAACCAAAATAGTTGCCTGAAAGCTACACACAGAAAACATTTACTAGTGCAGGTTATCAAAAAGAGTCCTCGGGTTTGAGATTATTTATTGGCTGAAGTATGAAATGAGAAGGATCTAGTGATGAGTGATGAGTTATGAAGTGTTCTTTAGTCCAAATGCAGCGGGGAAGGATTCACAGCTACTTATCTCATTGCGCTGCAACACCTACCTTTTGCCAATTTAATGACTGATAAAGGTTCCTCTTATCTTAAATCTCCAAAAGGAAAAAAAATTGGTACATTGATACATAAACCAGAGGTCAGGAACCTGTGGCTCGGAAGTCAGATGTGGCTCTTTTGATGAATGTGGCTCTCTGACAAATATTAGTAAGCATTAATAATTAGAATATTTTATGTATTATTCAGTATAAAATGTAATCAAGCAAATGTTATATTCTGAGACTTTATGACACTCTAAATGTGTTTATTTTTTTATTTTTTTTAAATAACACAAAAGCACAGTAAAATTGGTCTCCCACAGAAGTACATTTTAAATTACAATGCTTTTTTGGCTCTCTCGGCTAAATAGGTTCCCGACCTCGGACATAAGTTATATATGTTTTAATGATGTTTCTTTTGGCTGAAACCACCGCTCTGTGGATACTAGTAAGCAGGTAGCTAGTTAGCCTCTGTCATGCCTTTAAATTCTGGATTTAGATTTTTTGAAACTCTCGATTTTGAATGCAGTATTTTACATCTGATCTCTAAGCTCCGCCCACTTTTTTATCAGCATCACATAAAACAAATAAATAAAAGGCTCAATTTCACTCATCTACTTTACAGAGTAGTATCTTTTCCTTTTCTTCTTTTAGGTGACGCTGATCAAGAACCTTGAGTTGTACGGCCTCGATCCCACCGTAGTGTCCACAGCTCTGCAGCGGAGAGTCCAGGCCAGCGCCGTCCTGCAGCCGCTGCCCGGCGCCAAAGACCGAGTCATTGTGCAAGTCCAAGGCAACCAGATCCATCACGTTGGAAATCTTCTCCTAGGTTTGAGGATTCATTATTACACAGCAATATTCTTGAATATGACTTCAAACTTGAACTATTCTCAATGTATTATTTCCTCTGCAGATCATTATAAAGTACCTCGCAAGTTTATCCAAGGCTTAGAAAAGGCCCAAAAAGGAGGGAAGAAGAAATAGAACGGATCAGTGTGTGACGGTGATTGTAGAATGTGGCAATAAATCTCATGTCTGGAAAAAGTCTACAGTTATTCTAAGTCTTGTTTTGTGCATTATACACTGTATTATTGCAATGGCCAGTAGTGGAGCTTAGTTACATTTTAAAATCAGTGATATTATCATTTATATACGGTAACTTTCATTTTTATAGTAACTTGCCCATCTGGTCAAGATTGTGTCTTTTTTAAAACATTTCAATGGCCTCCAGCTTTAACTGAGTCAAATTTATATAAAATGTATAACCATCCTCAATGAGTAATTGATTGTTGATTAATCAATATTTCCTTTGTAACTTAGTCCTGGTTGTAACAGACGCTATGATGGAGATGTTTGGATGTAAACAGCTGAGGGCTTCTCAGTTGCAAACACTTTACTGTAACTCGAGTAGATTTCAGTAACTAGTTCAATGCATAACTTATAAATCCAGTTCTTAAATATAACGCTAGTCCATTTGGTGCTGAGATCCAGTACATTTCTCTTTGAGATGGTTAAAAAAAATTACAATCTCAGAGAAGCTGGTCCTGGATCTGACTCGTTGCAGTGTTTAGCGATGACATAGTGCATGTTTTCTGTCCTGATGGCAGTTTTATGTTCTGAGATCAAGCGTAAATTCCATGTGTGGATTTACCCACACCACATACTGTACCTGCCATAGCCTTGTGACTTGGCATATGTTGGACAAATGAATAGACAACTAAAATGGAAGATCTGGATCATAAAGCATCAGGATAGAAAACATGCGAGCGCTAAACACTGCACAGAGACCAGTCCTGGATCTTCCTTAAGATGAGATTGAAAACTTAAGTAGAGGTCATCTTGACAAATCTGTATCAAAGAGAAATACTATGGAAATATAATGACGACAGCCTTAAATCAGTCAAGCTGGGGATACTGGTAGTAGTATGTATTCTTGCAACTTAAAACAATAAAAACAAGATACAAATAAACAGGAATCAATGCATGGTATTGGATGAAGCACGCTCTTATTCAGCTCCAAGCCCTCACTCAATCGTTTTACAACACACACACACACACAGCCCCCACACACTCTCTGACCCAACACCTCTCCCACCCCAACTTAAAGACATCTGTCCTTCTTCCATGTACTTTAATTAGCACGTCTCCTTCAAATAGTTGCTTGAATGCACTCGTATTTGAACATATTTTAACTTAATCTGTTCAGTTGTTCCAGAGAGCGGATCCTCACACAGTGATTGATTTAACATTTTTAAAGTATCGTCCATATATTGTTTGCTTTTGCCTTTGAATAATGAGGTGAGCGTCCCAATCATGAAACAGAAGTGACTTTGTATATACCACTTTCCGAACTCATGGCAAATTAAGTTTATTTGTATAACACAGTTCATACACAAGGCTTTGCAAAACAAGTGGTCTGGCAGTAGTATGTAAACATCACAATCAAACACGTATGAAGCATAGATGATCATATATACATTAGAATCTATACAAATCCTTCTGTTGTGTGCACAGCTAAAGTATTTTTTGAGTATGTTCTCACAAAGAACACTGATATGTAATGTTCACTACTAAAGTATTAAGTGCCTGTAATAAGTAACAAAGTAATTTTTACAAGTGATCTCCCCCACACTGGTAAACGGTAGCGTGAGTCATCTGGTGTTTTGTGAAAGTCCAGGGGAAGGGGAGTCGTCCTTGTTTATGAGAAAGGAAATGATTGCACCCCCTACTGATGGAAACTATTTAAAATAAGATCAAAACATAATAGCTTCATTTGTGTGTGGTTTCAACTTCAAGGTCATTACTGGTGTTCTCAGTAGTATAGCAGTGGTGGAGGGTGCGTCCCAGAACCCCTGCTTGGCAAACACTATTCTATTAATCCTTAGATAACGATACTATGGTATGAAGTCGAGCTGGGAATCTCTGGGTCCCTCACCGTACAGTATTTTTGTGTATTTACTTTTACATTGTTGAGGTTGAACAAATAATGACTATTCAGGAGTATGGTTTGGGTTTGGATTACCCTTTTGGTAGTTTATTTTACAAGGAAAAAAGAAGGCTGGGTATTGTTGACTTACTTACAAATGTATTGTCATCTATAATTTGTCACATGGGTGAAAAACAAGGAGACCCAAAAAGCAAAACTGCAAAATAATGGATTTAATAAAAAAGTTATACAAATCAAGATCTAGTTAAAACACTTGAAAAAGTAACCAAACTGGGAACAAGGACAAGAACTGAAACAGACGTGGAACGACAATGACGGAACGGGGAGTGAAGGAACACACAGGGCTAAATACAGGACTAACAGGACACAGGTGATACACGTGGGGGCGGGGCAGGGAACATTTTATCATAGATCCATGAAGTCATCAGACAACAGGAAGCACTACCAAAGAAGACACCGGGATTTTAATAAACTACAAAATAAAACAGGAAATGAACCTAAATCATGACATTATTATTTTCATTTGGGTTTAAACTTTAGAATACACTAAACCATGTGGTTGTTTTCCTAAAAAATAGAAGCTTTAAAACAAGAAACATTTAATAATAATATTGTGATGTATCACAGCATATTTGTCAGATAGACACTCCATTGAAAACTAAACTTGAGTCAACCGAAGACAACCTGAGTACTATATGTACTATATTTCTTGTTTGTCACTCACCAAGACCAAAAAGAATGTTGTGTCTAAAGTCTGATTTGTATTAAAGAACATTTTTCTTGTCGTTGTGGAGTATTCTGCTGTGATTAAATTACAATACTAAACCGACTTGTCTAATCAAAAATGACCTTCTTAAATGAGTGTTTTGGCCGGTTTCTGTGTATAATGTGTTTATTCTAAAGTTCCATTGTTTACGTGAGAAAACGTGATTGCAAAAACCAGTTGAAAACCACAGATTTCCGCTTTTGGACGCAGAGGCTCTGAAACCAGAGGTCAGTGTGCGAGAGATGTCAGCGTGACTTGTGCTGAAAAGGCCAGGCGCTGAGTCAAACTGCTCAATGAAAGAAAGAATGAAAGAGTGAGACATAAAGACCTGATGAAAACTGAAGAAGTGAGCACATGTGGCTTCAGAGAGGAGGAGCTCTGGCAGTGCCGGACGAAGCGAGAAGTGGTCCAGTTTATAGTTTGTCTTCAATTATGGTTTTAGGATTTGAATAAATGCAAGAGACATTTTGGAATAACAGAGTGTAATGGTACAATTATTTTAATTACTAAGTTGTCCAAACATATGCCAATTATTAATAAACTAGGCTTTTATACTGTCATAACTAATAATGTTGACATGATACTGGTTCAAATTAGAAGGAGTTGGCTGCGGTATAATAGATAGAGACACATCATCCAACAGTTATGCCTGCATGCTGGGCCCAAAAGGAAAACTAAAAAGAACAAAGATCCACACAGAGGCTCCACCGATAAGACTGTGCCACGACACTGTCAGCAGAATCTTGTGGTCGAATAATTTGAAGCGGATGTAACAGGCTTTGCACACGCCATTTGGTCCTTCAAGACACTCTGATAGAAAGTGGACATTGGAGCTGTTAAAGAGAGGAGCCTCCAGTGACCCTTGGGCTGTAACTAGTGATGATTTACATTTCACAATATGGCACGCAGCTGTAACTTCATCCACTTCAGGCATATCCAAGATTACATTTGGGCACCGTTGTCAACTTTATTTATAAAGCACATTCACTACTTAAAAAACGTAAGTGTTTTTAACTAAAATAACATTTCCCTTGACTCTCGGGTCATTCCACGACCTTGGCCCTGACGCAGGATTAGTCAGACCTGGACACAACCTTCATGAGCAAGAGGAAGACGGTGTGGTTCTCAAGAGACATAAAAAAGATAACTAGATGACATTCAATAGTTCAAAAGTATTCCACTCTGAAATGTAATAGAATAAAAACCTAATTTGAGTCATGCTAATTTGAAATAAAGAAGGCTTACGTGGACTGAGAAGAAGGTCTTATCTTCATTCATGTTTTGGGAAATCAGTTGTTGATGCATAATAAGGATCATGAGGCTGTCCAGTCAATCTGGCAGTGAGGAAGGAAAGCTGCTTGTGCAAGAGATACAATTATTCTGCTTGAATACTTGTGACAACTCTCTACAATCATGCAGGCAATGTAGGCTATAAGGCTTATAGAAGGTTCTTTTAATAAGATAAAAAATGTATAGAAGCTAGTACTGCTTAATTGCTTGATGGGGGCCTGGCGGGGGGTCTGGGGCCTCCTCTCTCCTCTGGGTCTTGTGTCGTCCCCTGTGGTTGAAAGCGGCTCTCTGCTCCTGGTGCAGATGGCTCCTTGGATGGTGCTTCTTCAGCTGGATACATCCGCACCCAGCCCTATATCTTTTCATAGTTTTACCTATTTTACCTATCTGATTTTGTGAGTGTGTGTGTGTGTGTGTGTGTGTGTGTGTGTGTGTTTACGTGTGTACGGGTATATGCATCTCGATGTATATCTAATAATTGTGTTGCATTTTATTGTATGAAAAGCGCTTTGTAAATGAAGTTTGATTGATTGATTGATAATTACCTGACATATTTTGGCATTATACTTCCGCCTTCGTTGGAGGTGACTCGTGATGATGTATCAGCTGTTGTTGCCGTTTTTATGTTCTTCCGTTCCTTCTATTTGTTTTAGGAACAGAAGAAGATAAATACAAAAGATGGATACGTGAGGTGATTGAAATCAGGTAGCGAGGCGCACAGACCATCAACACAGACGAGGGGCCTTTCACCTTGGCTCACACTTCAGATTCACTTCTCCAGAGACCATAACGTGTCACTCTGATGGTTGGGTGGGAAAAAGAAGTCCTGGGTCATTTATACAACGCTCTGAGAAACGAGCACAGTTTGTGTAGCCATGCTTCTATTTGGCCATTTGACAAACTTTCTCCTGCAGCTTTGCAGCTCACACTGGTGGTCCTGTTTTCATGTTTCATCATTTGCTAATTTTTTATGTAATTTGT